GGTATTGGAATAGGATTCCGAAACATCAGTATCTATAACGGTTAAGCCCTTAGTACCTTGTGGTGACTTTCGATTTGAGTGTATCCACGAGTGCCATTTTTTTAATTTGGTGGGTAGTGGAAGAATGGAAGAAACCGATGAGCACGATTCCTGACTTCTATCGGTGGTGAGCTGGCTCTGGCTCTGAGCCGCCATCATTGTGACCAAATTAGTGTGTCGTACAAGTATGAAGGAAGTAGAGAGATATGGAGAGATTGTACAGTTTGTATCAGACAGTCGCATGCCGCTTTTGGCCTGATTTTCTGGTAAGGCTTACACCCACCTACACTTCTCATGGCCGCACCCAACTTTAATAGTTCCTTCAATTTGGCAGCAATGACTTCCTCAATTACAGTGCTGTAGTAGCAACGGTACGCTATACGGATGTAATCGTCTCACTTAAGTAACGTATCTGTTATACAGCGCTGACGTTTCTCTACAGGATGGAATGGTCGACAGTGATACTAATCTAGCATCGTGGTCCCAGTGGCCGGATGATGGTTCCTCACCATTCCATGTCCCCGCTTGACAAAGGCCACACTATACACGATTGGGTAGTTTGCAGCTTATCCACAGTTGCGTTGACAGCATACACACGAGACAACAGGCAGTTGTCATGCATTGCTGCACGTTCTACTCGTTGCAACGTCGCGGAAAACACAATAAAGCTATTTCTAGTGATGAGTGTAAACACACCCTACGTCCACCGATGGTGAATTTGCACTTTATTACTCTTGCACTGCGACACCTGATGGCGGTTTACATCTCATCGACACTGTGTGCAATTGGCGCTGCGTTGTGGATGTCCCCTGAATCAAGCTCCTCGCCGTGAAACAAACCATGATCCATGCGGCGCTTATGATGAACATTTGCGCTCCTCATTGCTACAAAATCATTTCCGCATACTATTTACCTGGAATTACACAGGTGATATTATACATGATATTCAAGTAGCAATTAGACGATTAAAATGTGCCCTTCCTTTGATACTTGATGGATTTTTCACTTGTCAATGGAGGACAGCTTCTCCTGCCGATGTCGTCACTTACCATTTTGTTATATTGGGTAGGTTTGCGCACTTCTTTGAGGCCTGAACAACGGGGTTCGGCTCTCTCCACATAATCACAAGTACAGTTCCACACACTACCAGGCACCACTGTCGTTAAAAAGCAAATGATACTTGGATCGCCAAAGTCATTTCCAAGATGCCCAGAAGGTTTTGATGAATCGATATCACGGTGGCACCAACAGCCCCCTCTAATGTCGAGTATTCATCTTCGCAATTTATTCTGCTCTACTGTCACAAGCAAAGGACCCAATATCATAAACTAAATTCCAACAAACCTTCGCGGCCTGTCATCCGACACCCTGCAACAAACACTTACACTACGTCACTGAAAATCCTGGAAAAGCTTTGTAAAAATTTGCGCGTCCACAGTCAACTTGTGGACGACTTATTGCTGAGTAATGTGCCC